AAAAAAAAAAAAAAAGACTCCGCTGAGTGAGGCTGAAGACAGGATATATAAAGGATAATTAATAAATATTAATCAAGTTTCACCTCCTGTCACCAGATACTGGGAAAACCTTGCCAGCGCTCAATGAAGCCCCACCTCCTCATGAATATGTAGATACGATATTAGCCGCCCACTGCCCCGCCCTCTACTCTTCTCCTCGCAACGGACTCTCCCTTCAAACGGGAAACAAGATGGCGGCGGCAGGCCCGAGTACTCGGGCCTCTTCCGCGGCGGCAGCGGCAGCTCTGAGTCGGCGGGGCCGGCGGGGCCGCTGTGACGAGACGGCGGCAACGAAGACTGGGGCTCCGGGCCCAGCTTCTGGCCCCGCGCTGGTGTTTCCACCGCCGTTGCTGCAACCGTCGCTACCTCCGAGGCCCGAAGAGTCGGGCTGCGCCGGGTGCCTAGAGACGCAGGGGGAAGCGGCGGCCTTGCCGTGCGGCCACTCGCTGTGCCAAGGCTGCGCCCAACGCGCCGCCGACGCGGCGGGCCCTGGTTGCCCGCGCTGTCGCGCCCGTGGCCCGGGATGGGCCCGCCGTCGGGCCCGCGACGACAGCCAAGCAGACGCGGAGGTGCTGGGCGAGCGCGTCCGCCGCAGCCAACCCGAACGCTGCCGCCCGCGCCGGGACGGGGGCGCGGCCGCTGCAGAGCCTGGGCCGGAGCAGGAGCCGCGCGCCGCGCCCGCGGAGCCAGGTGGAGCTTCCCCTCCTTCTCTTGGGGTCCGGAAGGAGGCCGAGCGCGCCCCGGCCTGGTTAGGGGGTGGAGCGTCCCAGGCCCTACTTGAGCGGGTGGAGAGTTCTTGAGGGATTGGAACCCAGGTTCTTTACAGGTGCAGTGTCTGTTTCTGAATTTTGAACTTCGGAATGAAGTACGGGCAAGTTGGATTTGGAGGGGCAGTGAGGGGATTCCGCTCCTTACGTAAGTCAGAAGTTTGGAGTGAGCTTTAGAATCCTGCAGCGTGTTGGGAGCAGGTTGAAATTGGTGTGTAGAGGGAAGGAACTGAATTTTGCAGGAGGCTTGGAGGATGAAAGAAGTGCTTGGTTTTAGTGTTTGTTGAGTGAAGAGCGTGGGGTCGTATTGCTTGATGAGATGTGGCTCCTGGGCCTGAATGGGTCAATGAGTAAGGGAGTGGTGTGTCCAGAGTTCTCGATACAGTTAAGGGACAGGGTGAATTTGAGGATGTGAAGGGGGCTTTTCAGACTTGAGAGTAGAGTGGGTTGGGAGAAGGAGCGCATCATGCAGTTGTTCGCCACCCCCCCGCCCCAATAAAATCTTGAAAAATGTGTGCTTAGCACAGAGCCTGGTACATAGTAATGAAACAAAGAATGACAGCTATTTGTATTGATATTAATAATAAGCTAGTTCTGTTGGAACCTGACCAAAAAATAAAACTGAAAAACTGGATGGGATTTAAAAGTTTTGGAGGTTGGTTGGTTGGGGCTGCTTGTTTCTCCATGGCAGTGTGGATTTCGTGTTACCATCCTAGTAAGTTAATTAAAAGTTTGTTGCAGCACTGTTGCCTTCAACTTCTTTCACTTCCCAACTGCCCAGAACCTGCCACTGTTCGAAACTTTTAGTCTGAGTTTTGAGATAGAAAGTCTCCTGTTCAAACGACAGTACATAACTCTTACAACGCAGGACTTTTGGGATATACATTGTCGTCACTCTACAACAGCATCTACAGATCTGCTTGATAAAAAGATGCTTACTTAGGAGCAGATTTTCAAGAAACATAAATCAGGAAAGGCCAGATAATTGCACCTTTTATGTTGGGAAGTCTGCCATGTGTTGTTTTCAGAGGGAAAGGGAGACATTGCTCATGTGTGAAAACGCAGCCCCTAGAAACTATAGATTCCAGAACGCAGTCTTTTGATTCAAGCAGTCAGGGACACCTGCCAGTGCCCTAGGACGCCTTGCTTTTTATTCCTGGGGTTGTGAGGATCTGCATTTTACTTTCTATGTGCCTTATTCTGTTGAACTTTCCCAACATCCCTATGAGATAGATGCTTTTATTTCCATTTTACAAGCAAAACTGAGGCCCACAAAAGTTACTTGCCCTAAGAATGTAAACTGAGTTCCATCTGATTCTTGCTCCTATCAGGGAAGAAGACCTCTTCTGACATTGTTTAAATTTAATTTGTAGATGATCTCATATGCTATTTAATTTGCTTCGAATTCTGAGTTGATGGTGACATAAGACTAAATGTTTCTTTGATCTTATTAGTACTATTGATTTTTTGTCAACTAGGATAGAATCTTTAATTTTTATTTCTTAAGCTTGAAATTCCTTGTGAAATATCAGGTCTGAAATTTGAAGGGAATGTGACTGAAATAGAAGGAAATATGTCTTGATTTCTGCAAACTTTTTTTCACTTTAAGAAATTTTTGTCATAGATCAAGTGTATCAATGAATAAGAAAAGTTACCTAAAATGAGATTCTAAATTAGGATGTGTCAAGTCACCTAGTATCTACTAACTACTTCATATGTTTACATGAGGTTCATAATGAAAACTTTATTTCTTTCTTGTACGTTCTTACTGCTGGTTCATGGAGTATGTACAATTACATGCTTATTAAGTCAAAGTGTCATAAAAGGATATTGCTGAGCAGGGATTGGGAATTATCTTCTAGTCTAGGTTTTTTTCATTTTTTAAACTGAGGCCTTCTGTGCTTCAGCAGGTTGTCTAAATCTTTTGAAGTTGTATACAGTATGTTTTAGTATAAAATTTTAATAGGCAGTATATTTACAAGATTCAAACTAAAAATATTAAAAAAGTATACAATGAAAAGTTTCTCTCCCAACCCACCCTGCATTTCCTATTCCCATGAAAGATTCTTCAGTTTCTTTATGCATATACATGAAAATTAAGGTACAGTTGTTTTTTGACCTTTTTATACAATAAGCTGCACATTCGTGTTCTGTGACTTGCTTTATTTGTTTAACAATACATGATGGAAATTTTTCCATATCAGTACATAGAAAACTTTTTTGTTCTTCCTACTTGTTGTTATGTGCTGTCAAGTCGGACCCGACTCATAGTGACCCCTCCTTGGGTTGCCAAGGCAGTATCACTAGATTGCCCCATCTTTCTTCCAAGGAATGGCTCGTAGGTTTGAACCACCAGTCTTCTGGTTAGCAGTCAAGTGCCTTAAGCACTATGCTACTAGAGCTCCTGTTCTCTACAGTTGCATGAAATCTCATTGAATGAATAGAACATCCCTTACTTAACCATCTGTTGGTGGGCATTTAGGCTGTTTCTAATCTTTTGCTGTTGTATATAATTGTTATATAAATGTGTATGTGCATTTTTGTGAAGAAAGGTCCTTTTTGGCTTTCACTGCAATCTCAAAGGGTTGCAAAAAAAGGTTTAGAACCATTGTTTCTAATTCCTTCGTTCTACTATTCAGGTCCTTCATGCTATCATAGAGAAAACTGAGGCTCGGAATACGAGAGGCCATGGTAAATTAGTAATAGATAAGCAATGCCTGAAAGAGTAACCAATAAATAAGGGCTGAAACAGATAACCTGAGTAACAGTGAAGTGCTCATAATTGCTTTTAATAGGGAAAACTGAAAATGCCAGTTTCATAAATATTTATATTGTAGTTGTATGAGTGGGAAATAAGAATAGAATTAGTAACTGTAGTAATATTCGGAGTTTGGACTAGTTAGGGCAATTGGTAAAACAAAGGTCATGCCTACTTTATAATATTGGAAATAAATTTTGTAATACATGCACCATGTTTAAATGAAATCCTTGCAATTTTTAAAGTTATGTTGAAGCCCTGTATGTCTCTTGGAATTGGGTTATCTATGAAAAAAGTGCAGGAGTTTGCTCTTACTGAAAATTGTGATTGCTCAGGAGACATTTTTATTTTTTGCTTGGCAATCTTTCAGGTTCAGAACCTAAGTGACCCTTGTGTAAAATATCTTATTTTATTCTCCTGTGCATTGTTAGGGAGCTCTGGTAGCATAGTGCCTAAGACACTTGACTGCTAACCAGAAGGCTGGTGGTTCAAATCCACCAGCCACTTCTTGGAAGGAAGATAGGCCAATCTACTTCCGTAGTGATACCGCCTTGGAAACCCAAGGAGGAGTCGCTATGAGTCAGATCTGACTCGATGGCACATAACAACAACATGCATTGTTAGTTCTTGATGTGTGAAGTTTTAGCCAGTGATTATCTCAAGGTGAACCTGTAGCTCATTTTCATGTGTTTTGAGAATCTGCAGCTCATTGTCTGTATTAACATGCTGAATATTTGGGCCATCTTGAACAGTATTCAGCAAGTATTAAGTGAGTGCCTGTTCTCTGCCAGGCACTATTACAGGTGCTTGATAATCAGTGAACAAAATATTCAGAGGATTCCTCATGGAGCTTATGTTTTTCATTTAGAGATATTCCTGGTCCTTTGATATAAAAACGTTTACCACACAGGTCATATAGGTAGACTGAGAAGTATATACTACTACAACAACACTTAAACATCATGGATGATGATAAATGAATTTTAAGAATTAATTTAATGTTTTGATTTGATGTCAAGGATGAGCATTCTAAATTATAATGTCTTGAGTTTGAACATGTTGGAAATGCATTTCAGAAATTGAAGAGATTAAAAAAAATAGTTCCTCATTTATCCCTTCCCTGTATCCCACCCCAGCCCCTCTGTTTTCTTAGGGTTAACATTTACTCATTTAATGAATTTCCCCTTTCAGTGAAAAACAAGTAGTTCTGCTTTATTACTCAGTTGGCAGACAATGTTGCCTGTGTGCAGCCTACATTGCATTTAGGACCAGTGAATAATGAAATCATGTGATTGTAATGTAAAAGGACAGGAATTTCCCTGGTCTGTAAGGATTTGTTTTAAAATATATAAAATGATTCAACTCTTTATCCTTAATGACACATAATCCAGCATTTGACTGTCCTTTTGTGTTATACTAATGCAGGAAACATTTGCCTTGTGCTTGTGTATGTTTTAAAACTCATGATGAGATTACCTCACCATGTGCTTTACCAACTAAACAGTAATTACCATTGAAGAAATAGTGCCAGTCTATAGTGAATAGCAGAAACCTAGAATTCATTCATGTTTATAAGTTTATTTGTTTTCATTCATTCATATTTCCTTTCTCTGTCTAGTCGGTTAATTTTGGAAGAGTTGTCTACTTTGTATTCGTTTATATCTTGAGTTTGCTTGGTTGGAGGGTGTAGAATATGTTTGTCAAATTTCATTTGACTATAATTCAGTGAGCATTTCTTGACCACACAATACAGGCATACTTTGGAGATATTGTGAGTTTAGTTCCAGACCACTGGGGTAAAGCGAAGTAACACAATAAAGTAATCACACACTTTTTTTTCCCCAGTACATATAAAAGTTAGGAGCTCTGATAGCATAGTGCCTAAGGCACTTGACTGCTAACCAGAAGGCTGGCGGTTCAAACCCACCAGCCACTCCTTGGAAGGAAGGTGGGGCAATCTACTTGCGTAGTGATACTGCCTCGGAAACCCAAGGAGGGGTCGCTATGAGTCGGGCCGACTCAACGGCACGTAACAACAATGTAAAAGTTATGTTTATACCATATTGTATGTAGTCTTTTAATTGTGCAATAGCATTATGAAAAAAGTTTGAAATATTGTGAGAATTAACAGTATGTGACACCGAGACACGAAGTGAGCACATGTT